CGTGAGCACAAAGGAGTGTTTGTCGAGCCAGAAGGCGGCTCGGACGGGTTTTCTTTACTGTGTGTTTGGTCTCTTCACGCTCCAGCGCTGCCTGACAGGCTACTTGGCAAAGTGCTTTTTCAAGCCGCCGGCTAATGGCCCGCTGAAGACTGCCGCTGATGAAAATGAGATCACCTCCACCGGCGAGAACTTTTCGCTCCGGCTGCGGCGGCGGCGACGGACGCACTGTCAGGTTTGTGCTGCCGTAAGCGTGCACGTAGTAAATGCAAATCGCTCCGCAGGGTACACATTTGGTTTTGAATGCCACGTCGGATGCATTCTGAGAGTAAATTCAAAAGGTCGCCTGCACGTATTTATATAACAGGAGGACGTACAGAGTGCATGCAAATGTGCTCATGTGGGCTCTGTGTCCTGAACTGACAACCGCCTGCATTAATGTCCTGAGTAATTCATGCGCTTTTACTAAACACATCCTCAGAGGTCTCCGGCGAAGACGAGACAAATGCGAAACATTAACCGCATAGTTAATACATGAAGATATTTCCAGGTGAAGAAGATCGTTAAACATCACAACAAGCCAACCCGTGAAAACTCCACCTCAGCTGCTTTAAAATTCACTGCAAGCTAAACGAGATCCTGGTGGACGTCTCTGAGATGTATTCAGACGGAGGAGTCGGTGGTGATTCAGAGCTCGTCTTTGGTTGAACATAGAATAAAGCATTCGAGCTCGGCTGATCTCTAATCCAAACCCAGCAGAGACGTTCACATGTAATAAAACATCATCAGCGTGTTTTCAGTGACTGGTCCTGATCTTTTGTTTACGTCACGCAGGTGATACGAGGTGAGAGCGCAAACTGGCGAGACGCTAAGTTTTAGTCATTTTCTTAATAATCAGCAGCGTTAGTGTTGAATATCTGATGAATAGTTCTGGTCGGAGGTCCTGAACCTCCTCAGAGTCTCTGTCATATGACTCCTAAACTCCCACAATGCTCTCTGCTGCCACCATGAGCTGTAGTCTGAGTGAGGCTCCACCTGGTGGAACAACCAGGTACTACAGCTGGTCTGCGATACGTTTACTGACATCATGTGGAGGATACAGGT